CCCCGCCACACGGACCGAGGCTCATCTTCTCGATTCCTGGCCTCCATTCGTCATACACTGACGTGTCGACACCCGAATGATGGTCGACGTCGTGAGGAGCGCGCGATGAACGGCGATCTCCTTCGCTCGCCGATCGGATGTTTGTCTTGTCCACTGCCAAGGTGTTATTATGAGTGGCGCACGTCAAATGCCTATATATGAGTTGGTCGTTTTAGCTGTAGTGGAATTAGCGGCAATTGATAACATTCCAAAACGCCGTACATGTTAAAATTAGAATGATAGCGGTAGAGAGCCGCGAGTGGCGCATCATGTTTGCGACAAGTGTGTAAGCAGCCACCAGGGATATGCAAGCGAGGGGTAATCACAAATTATATCTCTGAGATAGTATGGGGCACTTTTGTATATTAGACATTATGAGGCAGAGATCCATTTGTCAGAAACTTTGCAATTCCTGATAAATATGCGCAGATAGGAAGTCGCCATGCATTGGCATGTAATTAACTGAAATTCTTCACATATACATATCTACTACTCAGCTTCCCAATATACAAAGATGAAGCACATTTTGCGGACAAGTTTTTCCATTACTAGTAAATTAAAATGTTGTCTAACATCTTACTGTCTCATCGCCAAACGCAGCGCCGCAGCAGCAGAGCCGCAGCCGCGCCGCGACACTCTGCGCGCAGTATTCTCAGTGCATCAGAGTCTCAAATATGGTTATAATAACAATAGTTCAAGATATTAATTACAATTAAAACATACAAATAGTTTGTTTTGAAATATATACTAAGCTGAATGCGCAGTATTAAATTGTATGACCGACTTGTTTGTCAGTTGTCTTCACTGCAACTGTATTGTTGACTCATACATCGTTGCTTATTTGATGTTTTATTACAAAAACTATTATTAATACGCAATATATTTTGCGCTGGATGGGACGGATGGAGAGAAATAATGATAAACGACTCTTTTTTTTAAATTTTGCGTAGAATCAGGTCATAAAGAAACACATAACGATCTTTAAATAATCACATTCCGACTCAATCAAGCTTATATTTTTGACAATGAATTAAGACTAAGCCGTAAGCATAGCGCTCGCTGCCTTCACCCTTGTAAAGAAAAATGTATAGCAATTGTCCAACTCATCCGCCCGGCTCCGTCTTGTCGCACAACTTGTCACCTCAAGACTGCATCACGACTGGCATGTAACGACAGCTTCCACATTAAATCGAACTAAGTATATTTGCTGCCCCGAGGTGTAACGAGAACACCTACCGATTCATTTACCTCATAAAAATGAATACTTAAATCCCAACATACGACATAATCAACCGTATAAATTATTTTTTGAAATATTAAAAATTACATTAAAATTTGATGTGTTTTAACAGTTATAAAATTTGAATATCGACAAAATATAAAACATTGGCAGTTAAATACAATTCATAGTTTTATTTAATTCAAAATTTAAATTTTGAATCAGCAATAAATTTGATGCTATCGATTTGCCATTTACATGAAATAGAACCAAACCTAACTACTCATTGCTTAAATAAACATACTAAAAATTCACCCATAAATTAGGGATGGATGATTTTTACAATTTTATCCGATCCGTAAAACCGATGCAAACCGTAAAATAGACAAAATATTGGTAAAGTTTAGTCCAGTCTGGCGATGTGCGGTGTCGTTTGCGTTCTGACGACGGAACTAAAGCGGAACCGTTGCGGAAGTGTAAAGGATACTGCTGCTACCTTTGCATATGATATGGGAAGACACGATGAGCGTCGGTGACTCAGTGGTCAAGCACTTGACTTGCAATCTGCAGGTCCTGGGTTCGAATCCCGCCATGTACCAATATGTTTTTCGATTTCCTATTTACATGTTTACATTTATCCGACGTTCTTACGGTGAAGGAAAACATCGTGATGCAACCTGCACATATCTGAGAAGTAATTCAAATATATGTGTATAAGTCAACCAACCCGCACTTGGCCAGCGTGGTTGACTATGGCCTAATCACCCTTAACTTAGGGTAGGCTCCGAGCCCCTCGGTGGGGACTTACATATAGTGAGCTGATGATGATGATGGGAAGACACGCACGTCGGCTGTTTGTACATCTATCTGCACAACCCGCCGCGGACAGTGCGCCCGGGTCGACCATTGTCCTTCCCCAGTAGCCCCCGCCCGCCATCGGTGCGGCCGCGCGGCGCAGACATTTTATCGATATCATTTGCCTTCCTTTTTATTTATGCTAATGCTTAATGAATATGGTAACCTTCTCGCTCGGTAAATCTCGCCCAGAGCGGCGGAAACGCTAAGACTAGCCCCCATAGTAATGTATTTT